AACTTCTAGGGTACAATTCGCTTTGATACATAACGTACATAACCGATAACCAACATCATCCTTCAGGGACCTCCCTGCCTAGCTGTGCATGAAAGCCAAAGGAAGTAATAATTCATTAAACCCCCGCACTCCTACCAGTAACTACAGTAGTAGTTTGCTATTTTGTGACCACACCGCAGCCTATTCGGGTACTCCCACTAGTTCTGGCTTAATTAAACGCTTTCCTCAAATCCCGATGAACTCCCAATTCGAGGGAGAAGCGGTTGTAATGATGAGGATGAGATTGATCAAATAGCCGCTAGATGTCTCTGTGGGAGGATCAATAGAGTGGGCGTGGTCGCCCCGCCCCTCCCCACCCCTCTACGCCCATAGCCCCGCCCATTGGTCAACTGGAGGGGACCAGTCAGTGACATGCTGTCAAACCGGGTGACACGACGTGGAATGTAGTGTATTCTAATGAATACCTATACCATTTTTCTTTTTCTTAAATATTTCCAAGACCACACCGGGGCAATGGAATGTCCAACATGTCAAAAAGCTCGTTCTATGAGAACAAGTGCTTGTATATCTTTAGACCAACTATTGAATAAACAAAATTAATCCTATATTTACAGGTACAGTACGTACATTTGTATTAATTGTTTATACTTTTGGATATGGAAATAACAAAATTAAATCCTCACTGTAGCAACTCTTACAAAGTACAACATTCATTTTGATTTTTTTCGTTACCTCTCTTTATTTGAAACGTTTTTGTCAATCGTTATATTATTATTCTAAATACAATTGATTTGTTTCTACAACAGAATTCGTACGAGAACATAAAAAAGCCAAATTGCGTAAAATGGATTTTTAGGTGCAATATGAGTTGCGTCCTGACAGCTTGACTTTATTTTGCCTGGCATAGACAAATAAAAATCGTGATTTTTCAGCTATTTATTATTTAACATTTTTAAACTTGATTAAAACAAAGTTTAATATGAAAAAAATTAAATAAAAATGTACTATTTTTTTATTTAAATACATATATAAATTCGAAAGTGTTCTTGAAATTGTTTTAATAAAATCAGCCAATAAAAATACACAACTAAAATTACCGACGAAAATAATTATAATAATTACTCTTTCAATAGTTTATTGCTACTTTATATCGTATCCCGTATTTCATAAAGTTATCTTTAATGGTTTCTAAGATCCGCAACATATAAAATAGATGCTGAATTTTTATGGAGAATTTGCTGTTTACTTACTGGACACCCTGTGTATAGGCCTCCTGTACATAACACGTTTGTCATATTAAGTTATCTAATTTATTTAAACCCTCTACAAAGCCTAATGTGGTGTTTATGGTGTGACAACCATCATGACTAATTGTTGTGGTGTATCACATGTCGTGACATGATGACCGAGACATTATAATGTCAGGCATGACAGAGACATTATGTCAGGCATGACAGACCTCCGGAGTTAAACATCATTTGTCTGCTTCCCTATGACTAATGAAGGCTGCATGTCCAACATCTCAAATACTCTTGAAACTATTTTATTTTAAAATTACTTGCGTGATACGTAACAAAATTAGATTTTTATTCCAAAAACAAATTACTGTACCCGTAATATTAATTTGTGCTGTTGTGCACTCATTTTCTGTACGTATTAGATCTAACCTCAAGTAGGTTTAAAAATATAAAATATAAATTATGTTTTCATTTCAGAGAAAAAATTAAATAATGCTAATTTTATATTTGTTAAAATTACTATTTTATTATTTTAAATATTGTTGTAAATACCTTAATCTTATCATTAGCTTAAAACGAAGAAGGAAAGCTGTATTATTTATGTTTGACTTAGCTAATGCAATGTATTGTCAACTTAGCTGAATAAAATGATTTGATTTGATTTTAATTGTAGGTATTTATATCATTAAACTGTTAAATGGGCTAGGCTATCTAGTGCTGTACTGTTGAGAAAATACTGTCGTTTAAAAATTGACTTTTATTGCTTTATATCATCTAGCCTTAGTTCTTATACAAAATGTATTAATAGCTGTTCATTAATATGTTTGCTGTAAGATTATTTATTGTAACACGATATATTACTATATTGGCTGATTTTGCCTTGTTTATATTGCTATATATAAACAGTACGCCCTTTCCTCTAGAAATCATGTCGATCTTTGAACTATGGATAGTAGTTCTAAACATATGATCATACAAATTATCATATTTCTTCGTATGTAAACATGATGAGTGATAAAAATAGACTATAGCCTAGCAATGTGGGCTATTTTGCTTGAAAAAGTAACAATTATTCAATTAGACATGATTTTGTTTGCAATTTTATAGTTAGTATTCTACGATCGCAATCAAAGAATTGAAATTGTAAGATTCATACAATCTTAGAATCATGATAAAATGTAAACACTCTATTGCTCAATTTAGTTGGTTAAATTTATAATAATGACAAATTCTTTAGCTATAAAATTACCAAAACCATCTAAAGGTAAAGTTATAACACGATTTCTTATGTTACAAGAAATCTCCCGCGCTTTGTATCAAGAATGCTCCATTTAGTTATTGATTGAAAAAATATACATGACTAGACAAACTTTTAATTTGTCAGTTGAAAACATAATTCTAATGATCTTCGATATTATAATAAAGAATCGATAAAAGTATACTTCTTTTGTCTATAACTCTGTTATTTTATTTAACTTATCAAATAGCCTACAATTAAAATAATTTTTGTGTTTGCCTTTTTACTGACACTTTCAACAGAAAAACATTTATCATAAACTTCCTCTGTGAAATATTTATTATATAGCAATCATTACTACATATAATTTCTATCTAATTAAATCCAAAACTTTATATGTTATAAACAAAAAACAAACTCTTTTCTTCACAAAACTATATCAAGTTTTTTGTAATCCCATGTTACGCAGAACTAAAAAAAATAAAATATTCATATATTTGAGAAAGTTATGTTTATTTTGGCAACAAATAATATTTATTTATAAATTTAAATACTGTCATTGACATGTACATTAATAATTGGCGAAACATTTTCTTTGACACTATATGGTAGTCTAGTTGACAGAAAGCAGTTTTACACAAAATGTAACACTACGCAAAAAAAATTGCCCAACCGGTGTTACAATTGTTGTAACACTGTGCTGCAACGAGTTTTAAAGGATTAACAGTTCATTGTTATCAGCCAAAATTTAAATTGAGGTTTGATGAAGTTTCCTAAAAACGAAATATGTATCATCGTCATGGCAAAATTATATCTACAAAGTTAACCACAAATATTATTGTAGTGTTGATATCACTCCTTTTTAGAGATTCACACTTTATTTCCTTATAGTGTGTGAGAATCGAAAAACGCAAATCCCAAAACAAATATTCACAAAATTAAGTTTGAAGTAAATAATTTCAGTGATTTCCCCATTATATATATTTTTAACTATTTTCTACACACATGTGCCATATGTGACTATTTTCTCTGTGTTATTTCCACTATCTGAGTCCCATTTTAAATAACCCTCCAACATCTGCTAGATTGAGCAATAATTCAAGGATTTACACATGTTTCTCTATTGTGACATTGTTTCCATCAATATACAGTTCCATATATATATAGTAGCAAATTGTAGCACAGAATTACAAACCAAATAGTTTTTAATCTTGACTACCTTTACTTGTTATTTGTTTTAATCAAAGCAATTGTCCAGTAATTAGCATCTTAGTAACAGCAATTTACAAGCTAAGCGAGCGAATTTCGATTAAACCTCTAGCATTTTATTAATTTTCCATTTAATTAATTTCCATCCGTAATTAAATAAAAATATTATAATAAATAGTTATGTTTGCTGCTTTGAGAGATACTCAATATTTAAGGTTTTAATATACAAAAAATGTTTAATAAATAATTAAATATAATGATTATGATGACCTAGTCATACATCAAGGCTTTGGATTGCCCGTAACCAATTATTATTTGTTTTAGTATTTACAGGGTAATTTAAAGTGCTATCTATATTAGGATAGAAAAATCATAATTGCATGATTGTAAGTAAATTTTACAAAACATAAATAAATAGCGAATAAATATAAATTGACATTTTTATCGATGAAAATAAAATATAATACAGTTTTATAAATAATGTAAATGTAGTTTAGAAAAATCCATAGTATATTTTTATTTCTTTTAGTATTTATAGGGTAATTTAAAGTGAAATGTATAATAGGATAAAAAATCATAACTGTAAGATTTTAAGTAAATTTTACAAAACATAAATAATTTGCGAATAAATATAAATTGACATTTTTATTGATGAAAATCAAATATAATACAGTTGTATAAATAATGTAAATGTAGTTTAGAAAAATCCATAGTATATTTTTATTTGTTTTAGTATTTATATGATGATTTAAAATGCTATCTATATAAGTATAGAAAAATCACAATAACTGCGAGATTTTAAAACTTTCGAATTAAGTTTGTTACAAAATATAAATAAACAGTGTATAAAATAAATACAGTCAAGCTGCAAACTAACTAATCTACTAACTATGCAACCAACACACGGGCTATTAATTCAATTACAACCGTGTTAAATGACTTTAAATTGTGGTAGACTTTAGCTAAAAAATTTTTTCATAAATTACTCTTCAGTACTAGTAAAACGAATATATTTTTATTAGAACTTAGTAAGAACAATAATTATTAGCTTATTTTTTTCTTGTCCAAACTAATGAACCTTGGTGTGAATGGTACAAAAGACTATTGACAAATCGAAGGTGCTAAAGCCTCATTATCTCAAAAGCAAACAATGGCACTTCCTTAACTTTTGTGAAGACACAAAGAGTGGTGAGTGAGAGGGGATGGTATGCGCCCTGGGGTTTCCCGGGTCCACTGGCAGTGACCTGTAGTGACCGGGGTGGAGACAGTAGTCAGTCAGTGGCTGTGAGTCAGTGAGTAGTGATAGTGCTAGTGACATGGGATCTCCTGGAAGTAACCAAGACAACGACCCCCGGTGGTACCCTGGAGGATCCCCGGACACCCCAAGGTCCTCGGTCTCACCCCCGGAGACAGCCTCGGTGCCTACTACAGTGCCTGAACTGGAAGATCATAGGAAGTCGTGTGAACAGAGGTAGGGGTTGTGTTTTTTGTTGACTCGGGGGATATGTTGGAAAATTCTACTGCTATATTTTTGCGATTTTGTTGTTAGTTGTGCTAAATTTGAATACAGCATAAATGTAGGCCTATTAAAGTTGGGAAATAGTATTAGGCTAAGCTGTGTAACATACTAAAGTCTTCTTTTGTTGTTGATGTTTTTAATCTATAGGCTATGTGTTAACATAAGGGTAAATTCAATTTTATGAAGATGCTATAGTAAAAATAATGTAAATGCTATTTCGAGTAGGATCTTTGAAACTTAATGCAACATAGGCTGAGTGTCAGTTAGAATTTTTATTGTGTAGGCCTATGCGTTACATATACCAATAAATTGACAATTTTATACATTATCGGTACGAACGGTACATATGTAGTTAGGCTTTTGTAGCATTAAAATCGTTGATGCGTTCAAGATATATCTCGTTTTTGGAGGGTTGGTTTTAATTCGTGTATATATTGTAATATTTTCTGTAATATTAACGGTATTTTTCTAATTGCATATTTTTTACTTTAATATGTGTCATGGTAAATGTGGAAATCGTTGACAGTCGTTCGGTTGTGAATAATTGTTATAGCTCCTGTTTATTTGATCATAGGCTATACGGGAGAGTTATTTCCTTCAAAACTATGACTTAACTTAACTAAATCGTATCTATTTCTAATACGCTACATGGCTATAATTTTACTGTGTGCCATATTTTATTTACCCAGCTTTGTGCTGGCAACAAAGTATGTCGTTGTATTACGGTAGTGGTAGTGGCATTTAATATTTACACATAACGGGATATATTTACACCTTATTACTAAGATTAAAGACCTAGAATACAGTAGTTAAAAGTGTTAAGCAAAAACTTGTTACTGACAGAAGACTCAATGAAACTGCTTTATTTAAGAAAAAGTAAAGTATACGATTCATTACATTCTCTATTCGAATGTACTCTAAATATCTGATTTCATCAGTACGATATCAAGGATAAAAAACGGTACTGTACGAAAAACAATATCGTTATATTTTGTTATAAACGTATTTCCACAAGGTTTATAATAGTAGCTTACGAAATTCGCGTAAAGGCGAATTACGCGAGTTGCGTTCACTACTTTACCTACGACCGTTTTTTAATAACTAACAATCACTATTCATAATGTCTTATGAGAGGTTATGTTTTCGTTTACAACCTCTCACTGCCACTGATTGTGATGCAACCACTCATTGTCCCAACTACTCAATTGTTTAATCAATTAAATTGGTCTTATCAGCTAATATGTTGACGTTCAAAGTAATACAATTTTACTTCTTTTCTCTCTGTCCTCGAACCTAATTGGCCCAAGCTTGAACTGTTGCTGTCCAAAACAAAACAATGCTGTCCATTGAATCTTATCAATTCTAAGAACCGGATTGAAAATATTAGTTAAAAAAACTGTCGTAGTACAATGAAGGAAAGTTTAAAAATCGGATAAGTGAACTAATGGCGTAGGACAAATTGGAATCAAATAATATTTCTGTTGTAGGTACCAAAATAATTTTACTTTGCGTGTTTGTTTACTGACAAATCGGGAGTAGTGACAGTTTTGCACTAGAGTCCTCGGAGGCTAGCGGCCATCTTGGATAATTTAAAACAGCTGATAAGAGTTATTTCTCGTACAAAAGTGTTTTTTTTTATTAAAAAAAAAACAGAGTGATTATAATTTAAACGTAGGCTTAAATAATCCACAGTAACTGTGGGATTAGAAATTGTCTTAGTTTTTAATTGTTTTACGTGTTAGAACGCCTAGGCTCCAAGGACTCAGATCCATGAAGCATTACTATTGTATTTGGCTACTTTGTAAGGAGTATACGGTATCATTGAGATGAGGGTAGTGGGCAGGGGCGTGAGAGACGTTAGTTTGACACTGTTTTCGGGGCTTTTGAGGGCCTGTCATCCCCCCCCCTCCAGTGACAGCTCAATAGCCAGGGGCAGTTACCTAGGTCGTCCACCTCGGCCCCGCTCTGTCTATAACTTTGTGGGGATTTCCTGCTTTTTAAAATATACTTGCCACCATTCCTGGTCCAGCCGTTTGCTCAATTTATGCTAGAACAATTATAACTGAGGCATATGTCTAATGTGTGGCAATGGGGGAAAAGCCATGTTCAGAAACATGTATTAGTCAGAAAATGTATTTAGGCGATGGCTGTTTTCACACAATTTCGATATTTTGGTATTTTAGTGGAATTCGTTTCCAACGTGGAATGGTGAGAAGTTGGCTGAGAATTATTATTACGAAATGGTTATGAATTTGATATTAGTTAGATACTTGCGTTTAGTTCCCGTAGAATTAAATCGATTTTGTCATTATGGAAATGTAGATCAATTATAGCAATATGTCGATCATGTATGCTTGAAATCGTAATAGATAGGCCTTAAATGTATAAATCTGGAAACCGAGCTGTAGTTGTGAACGGATGTGTTATGTAAGTGGCCTTCAGTGGTTTGTGTTCGTTCTCACGTAGTAGGTGTAAGAAATTTTAGGGATCTAAATCTTGCAAAAGGTATTACAGAAAGTATACTATCTGTACTACTAGACATTACAGAATTGTTTTTATACCCAAATGAACTTTTGATATTGCTTATTTGATATTAATAATTCTAGTCACAACAGCTAATACTTATGTATGGAATATTGTATAATTTCCATAACTTCTTGCTGGAGAGTTTGGGCGGTATAGTAAACGTCATAATAATACATCCACAAAAAAATTAGGAGGTCAGGGCTTATATTGCTTTACAAGAGTGTTACGTACACTCAAACACTTGTGTATGGACAAAATATAATACTTATAGACATACTACAATTTGCATACTGTGATCTGTCTTATGACTATGGCACTGTCAAGATATGGATTCCATTAATCCTCATTGCCTCGGCATGACTAGGCACTTTCTGTGCGCCTCGGTGGGCTACCTTGTACGTGCGATACTGATCTAAGACAAGCCCCAGGTAACATTGTGCGGTGAGCCAGTGGGGCAGAGCCCGAGGTGTCCGTATCGCACCATCGTCGCCCATTAGTGGCGGAGCTGTCGGTTCAGGGCGTCCGCCCCACTGGATACATGGGTACCTGAGATGGCAGGAATATGCTAGTGGTTGCGGGAAATGCCGTTGGAAATTGCTCTGTATAGAATTCGCTAAAGAAGGATATTATTATTATTATTATTATTTTGTTGTCATGAGAGCCGAAGCCCCCTGACTGCTTACCCGGTACCTATCCTTCAGGACATACCCGGGCCCCATGATGTAGGCCGAAGCTTACGCATCAACCTTTAGCACATCATGGGCGGATGACTTAAGGTCATCAGGCTCGCCGGCTGCCGAAGCAGACCCTTCGGAAAGAGGGTTGCCCCTCAATCCTAACCAGGGATTCCGGCTGCTTGTTTAAGCGTCACTCCACCTGGGTTCCACTAGGTCGGAACCTAGAGGTCCATAGTAGAGCGCCCCGACGCATTTAAGAACTGCCAAAACATTGTGTACTGCTAAAGAAGGATAGTGGCATCTTTCGATGGTAGTTAGTTGAGTGGTTTATTTAGTGATATTCCACTTCAATTGGCTTCTGCGGTTCAGCATATAATGGCCATGGGTTCGTATCTTGGCGACGTCAATATGTATCGGGCCACTCTTCAAATAGCTTGATACTTTTCACACACAAACCTGTTGCTTTTTTAAAGAAGAAGTAAAAGACACGATTGAATCTATACATCGACATGCTCCGTTAGCTTGCAATATTGCAGACTTGATAATACAGTCGACGTGGATAAGTCTGCTGGAAGTAAGCCACCCTAATCCAATAAGCATACAATGTCCTGCGTCTGCATTCTTCCAGACATTCCCGTCGGGACTAAGCTCTACAGGACGCGGTAATCCCATCACCTTCTGGAGCACTTGACTCAACATCTACAGCCTCAATGGAGGCATCCAGGTCGGCAACTTTCTTCTGAAGTAGAATCGCCGGTGAAGTAGAAATATCAGATCGATAGACTTGCTTAACGAGGGGTAGATGAGGGTGGAGATTAAGCTTCATTTGTCATCTTTCGTTTTCAAGCTTTGAATCGTTTATGTGAAGGTTAAATGTACAAATTATGAATTGGATAGATGAGATTTACGCAAACGATGCCTTAATCAGGACGTGCCCAAATCACTAATGTTCAAGGAATGATTGCCGTGGGAGTTTTAATGGCAGCAAGTTCACTGTCGTGATATTTAGAGGGTGAATCACCCCTGAAGTGGGTGTCTGCCAATTGATAATCTGGATTGTTCTGTTTTACGTAAGGAACTGTAGTTTGTATTATTTTATTTTGGAACGAACTTTGAATAGCGCCACCACAAATGTAAGTGCTGTCGTGAGAGATGAAATCACGTCACGAAGTGCCCAATTCACCATAATACTTTTGTGTCAAAATATGTGTATAGACTTACTTTGTTTTATACCGTTATTTTATTGCCGTGATTTTTCAAGACCCTGTTGATACATATTCCTGTTACAGTATGATGCATCTCTTTCTACAAACTAATCCGGATACACATCCGGAGAGAGAAATGAACAGAAACACGAAGATGATTTTCTTGACCATGGAAGCTCTCTCAAAATATACCCCATTAGAATCTGCTAGTTACTATGCCACATCCAATGTGTTAATTCCTTGTTTGTTTCAGGGTGTTCGGAGCCATGGCCAGTGGGTTCATGAAGGGTCCCACTCTCCAGCCCATGATGTCCTCTCACCACCAGTTTCCCCCGGTGTCGGCCCTCTCGGGTCCCTTTGGCCTTCATCACATCGACTCCTCCGTCGGCTTCCCACCAGGTAAGTCGTCCATACGTCTGAGACATGATAGATTTTCTTTGCAGATTTCGTTCGATACAAGCAGTACCTATCAATTGAAGAGGGCCCGCGCCTCAGTAGTCCTGCTCACTAAAACTTCACTACGCACCGACAAAGTTCATTCGGGGATTGGGGTTGTTTTACGGTATTACACGTGTTAAACAGTTTCTGATGCAAACTTCCCGACTAACCCAAAGACGTCAAGACCATGATGCAACAAGTTATCGATTATCGCAACGTCAGTGATTACGTAATTATCGAAAGAAAGATATATAGAGATGGCATGGTGAAACGATATGGTGAAGCCCCACAGATCGCGGGGCTTCACACACAAGGGAGACACGCTACAGCCCTGTGTGGGATCAGCTGATATTGGTTGATAGAAATGTTGGCAGGGCTTTGAATTCCGCGGGAAAATTTTGGAGGGTGAATTATTAGTTAGGTTTCTCTGGGATCCGGGAAAGTTGAGGGAATTCCGTGTAAAATAGTTTTAACGCAATAATACGACGTGGTAGTCTCCGAGTGTAGTTTTTTTTTGTTTTTTTTTTTTTAGAGAAAATGTTTTATTTTCTTGATCTTGACATTTGACATTTGGATGCATATTGATTGATATTGCAGTTGATTTAGTATATAGATTTTCCCCGTAGTTGCAAGGGTCGTTAATTTCATATATCAGACAATATGAACATGGAGAACTAATTAATAATTGAATTACTACTTTCATTGCAATAAATATACTTTATTGGATTAGGGGAGTACTTTTTTCAACGACAAGTTATGTGCTAATAATTTGATAATATCCTTAGTTAGTTATAACGGCATACCTCCAATGGAGAATAGTCATTTAGTTTGATCGTGTGATTTTAGCCCAATTCATTACAAACTATTGGTGTCAGCAATAGGATCACCGTATTGACGGAACTGATCATTGAGTCTTTGAACACAATCTGATCCGCTTACAGATTACTGGTGCTTAACAAATACTAGGTTACCAGTGACTTACTTGAGCTCGGTCATGGTGCACCAAACAATTATTTTCTTTAATCATAAAAGTGTTATGTGTGAAAGTCATAACTTGTGTTGGTTAGTCTATGGTTTAATTTACCTTTGTTGCAGCTCAACTATGCATATTTTAACACAAAAAGATTTTCGTTGTAGATAAACGACTATCTAGACAAATACTAGGTTTCAGTGAAACCAGATATTTACGTGAACTCATTGAAAAATGTTTGCGTAACTGCCAATACAGCTTATAGTCATGTGCTTTAACACAGAAATATATTCTGTGAACAACCTGTTTGGAAATGTTAAACATTTTATTCGCACGATATTTTCACGTTCGTTAACAGTCGCTTTCAGCCTTCGTACTTAGAACCCTCCACTCGGGCGGAATATCGTAACGGAACACATTTTAATCCTTAACATTTCGCTACAAAATACTGTTTGGAAGTAAAATATATAAATCTCCCATTGAACCACTCTGTCTAGAATACGAAGTGACTGTAGACGAGTACGATTGTACCAGTCGTTGGTGTGGAGTGACTCCTTCAAAACGCGCTCCTTCACTCCTACCTTCATCAAGTGAATCTAATCTGATTAATATCTTCATTTGATCTATACCTCTTGTTATACAAGTCCACCTTCACATTTTACGATTTAGAAATTTAGAATACTCACCCTTGACAGGTTTACGTATCCAGATGTTTGTTTTACGATTGTTTATTTTCATCAATATTGGAACTTAGTGTGGGGAACTATGGTCTGGGAGTGTAGACATGCATTAGGTTATGTGATCTATTCGTCATATTGCATCAATGTAAATCGATGTGTCTGTGTGCTGATGACTGTAATATTCTGTTTTCAGGAGAGTCACATGATTATGTCGAAAAATCTTTGAAACACTATACTTCAGTTTATTCACGAATTGCTTGATCAAAAAAATCTATTAGTAAATAAAAATAAAACAAACCTAATATCATTTTCAACCAAACAATCAAAAGTCAAATTCGAGCTCAATATTTTCTTAAAATCAGATAGAATAGATCAAGTAGGCCAAACTAAATTTCTTGGTTTAATCATTGATGAAGATCTCTCATGGGATGATCACATCAACCACCTCGTAAAAAAATTATCTTCTGATATATATGCTCTGAATAGATGTCCCGATTCTGTGATTTGGAAACTTTAAACATTATTTATTATTCATTAGTTAAATCCCACACTTCATACGGAATCACAGTCTATGGTGGAACAAAAAAGTCAAATCTTGATAAAATACTCAAACAGCAAAAAAGAGCAATTCGCACAGTTATGAAATTACGGAAAACCATCTCAGTGAAGAATCTTTTTCATGAATTGGACATTTTAACTAATCGATATACAAACATAGCGTAATCAAGAAAGCCATAAAAATGTCACGCATGTTGCATCAAAGAAGAATTGAATGGGGTGGAGTATAAATTTCAAATGAATAACTTGAGTTTTCCGATAATGCTCATTTGTTCACCCGCTTCCAAGATATCATCTCCAAGACCCTACTTTACCCACAGTGAGTACAGTGTCGATGTCAACCCACTGTAAACATTGCCGTGTTGAATGTTTCCCCATCTTCCAGCTGTTTGCTCTGTGACGTCATTAGAAGACACAACTCCGCACTTACGGCGGGTAATTGGCACGCGTGTTGGCACGCAATCCCCCCTCCCCCTCTCGCCCCCGGACGTTTACTCTCATAACATTTATCTTGACGGCTCCGATTGATTTTTAAGAGGGCTGTTCTGTTTTGATTTCTCTCGCTTCGTTGAATTGTAAGCGTTGAGAACACATTACGTTCCGTTGGCGCGTAGGTGACCTAGTTGAAAATTATCGAATGATTTTAATAGAGGCAGTATAGAGTAGTATATTTACTTTAGTATAGAGAGTATATAGGCTTGAAACATCCCTACTTTTTTGTTCTCTGTTCACTAAGCTTAAACTTGGCTGTGAATCAATAGGTCACTGCATTATTACATAACAAAGTAATTTGCGATAGACGGGATTCGAACTCGAGCATCAAACACAGAAATCCTGCGCTGGATCTTGTAAGATGTCGGTTCGAGATTTAGATTACAATAGGTTAACATCTTCAAAAGCGTTTGTGTACGTATTTAATTGCTCGTAGAGAACGCCAAACATTTGTAAAAAAACTATTACACATATGTCGCGTTGTTTTCCTTTTTCATCGTTAGTAAAGAATTAATCATCGCCAAAGAGATTATACCAGCAAAATGCAGTAGCAAATTGACGTGGAGAAACAAAGTGGAGAAACAAAATAACTACAGTACAGATTATGAAAACGTTTAGGAAACCGTGTGATTATGATTATGTGGTGTCATTTTTACAATTTGCCAAGGAATCCCCTTCATGGTTTGATCCGTGTTTTCAATACAATATAGATATTTAATGTGTCTTTAGATCAGTTGACCCTAGTCAGTAAATACCTCAGTTTTAAAGATCGTTTATTTTTAGTGATATACGCCAGTTCCATGCTAAAGAGACGTAACAACTTATACAATCTTACGTATACCGTGTGGCATTTTATCGCTCATCTAAAAGATTTATTTTTAAAATGTGATGAATTTTGACAAAAATATAGAAATTGCACTTCTTTTGACAAATACCGTTGAATTTGCGTTCTCTTCCTAGAAATGCGGTTCGAGTTTCGAAATCATTCCTTTAGACAAAATTGGTAGAAATATCATCCACATTTGTGCTTTCATCGAAAGCCATTCATATCCAAGCATTAATTCCACGGAAAACAAGTCGCTTGAATGCCAACATGCGGAACAAGACTGGGAAACGCCAGTTGTGTCTCGTGCTTCGAACCAACATCAATTATTTAACCGGATTAGAGGACAAACATACATTAGCAGTACACATTGTATGCCTTACCTGTTCATTATTCGGCGAAAATTGGAGTTACGCGCGGGTACCAAGTTATAAACTACGTGTGTGAGTGTGTGTATTTGCACTAGTGTGTGCAGTTTGCCGCAGCGAAGTTGTGAAATGGATATTTAACCATGGGGAGGAACCAGCTGTCGACTCCCACCGGCTTAGCGACACACGCTTAATATTCATGACTGAAATTAATTTAAACCAACAACCAGGCTCCCTCCTTGTGCTGGGGCGTGATTTGTTAGTTTCGGGCGATAACTCGACAAATTCGCCGAGGGCAGAGGGGTCGGAAATTGTATCTTTTTGGAAATATAATGTATTTGGATTAGGAAATTTGTACCTGTTAGTTGAGTTTTGTCAAGTTGGACAAATTGGGTTTTAATATTTAATGAAGAATGTTCAAACATCCTTATTGTATCGCCAAGGTGCTTGAGGTCTGATTAGAAGACAATTTTGTAGGAAACAAAAAAGGTGTTTGAAAATGGAAACAGTATTTTTGAGGTGTGTAACTCGTTACTGTGTTGGCAATAGTCATAACCAATAAGCGATCAAATTGTTTTGTAGATACTGATAATCAACTTTACATACTATCAATCGTGATGTGAACTGCCTACAAGAGCACGATCTTCCTCCAGTTAACAGGCTTTACTAGTGTTTCGTAATAATTGACGAGATTTTTTTACTTACGTTTTCTTGAAATAATAATAAGAATAACTACAAACTAAGTAGTGTTGTTTATTGGTTATCCAGCAACTAGAAATATTTAATTTCATGCAGAGCATGTATAGACCAGCGAGATTGCAATAGATTGTAGGGCAATAAAACCAAAGAAGACAAAGTCAACTAAAAGAAATATGTATAGGCTACATGTTTAAAGACATTTTTCTACAGTTTCGGCGTGCTCGTGTTGTATCCGTAGGGTTGGTTAAGCAATCTCAGGTAAGGGAGAGATAAATACAGTTTGGTACTAAAACCAATTGCGACTTTAAAAACACATACTAGTTTAATTTGAACTTTCCTTTTATAAATTGTATTATTTTTCCATTCTTCGTATGGTCGTGGAGTTTATTATACATACAACGCAGTATGCCGTTGCCGTTTCGCACGTCTCGCAGAGGTTGGCAACACTAGTCGTCGAGTGACTGTACAGACCCAGACTGTCCCTCCATCAGCAAGGACACTAAGCCGGATTACTGGAGGCTGTCGCTTCCCCTCCCGCTCCGCCATTGTTTCCTTTCTCTCTCCTGTATTTATTTTACTTCGGCACCGTCCCCTAAAAAGTCCGGTACGGCAAAACAGCGTCGGGAAAAAACGACCAAAAAGAGTTTGACGCGAGTTTTATTCGATCTCTGACAAGCTCGGATTAGCTGTGACACTTACGAGGGCTTGGCGCGCTCGGCGATATCAGATGCAAATTGGTCTCTTGCATTTCATAGACTGGCTAGTGTATAGTGCTGATGTTAGATATTCACTACCAAGAGACACGCGTGTAGGTCGTCGTGACTGAGCAATTACCAAGGCCTTACACCATAATGATGGTCGAGCTTGATCTTACATCGAACAGGTGACAAGATACTATAGTCCTCGCCACCCTAAGTTGAGGCAGCCAAAGGCCGCACTAGATATACGCCGTGCGGCCTTGGGATGCCTCAACTTAGGGTGGCGAGGACTATAACTTACTTTGGTCACGATTGAGTTCTCAATTTGCCTAGGAATCCATACAGGACCCACAGTAACATGTCCTCTGTTGCAGGTATGGGTACGAGAAAACAGCGGCGAGAGAGGACGACGTTCACGAGAGCGCAGCTGGATGTGCTGGAAGCGCTGTTCTTCAAGACGAGGTACCCGGACATCTTCATGCGAGAGGAAGTGGCTCTCAAGATCAACCTTCCGGAGTCAAGAGTGCAGGTGAGGTGGAACACATTTCTTCTTGAGGATTAATGCCAGCTTCTTGTACTTGTTAGCGTAATGCAGAGGATGATGGCAAAGAAAAATATTGTGGACTCGGAAATAAACGTTTAGATTCCACTAAGGCTGTTAAGGTTTGTTTTATAAGTGTGCCAGTAAAAAAAGACACCTGTTAGTAGATTAGACTTATCGTGTACCCATCATCCCAGGTTTCACTTGTATCCACAATTGAAAGGATATGAAAGTAATTCTCTCAAACTGAAGTACCAAACCCGTATGTTAGCCATTCGATTAACAAATCGGATACTATTACTTGGCGATGTAAGCAACAAAAAGGGGCCAAATCACCAACCCTGGCGGATTCCGCATTCGGCGATTTGCTAAATCGCGAGCACTCAATGGAGTCAAAGTGGATGGGGCGTTTATTTGACAGAACAAAGGGCTGATCTTGCCCCGAAATGCTAAGCTCATTAAAGCATAAAGGCAGTAGGAGAAAATCCTTTCAGGAAGTCATTCAACACGAATACAAATGCAATCGCAATACAAGCCCCATTACCAATCCTCGATCAGATTTTCACTGAATAAAATCGCTTTTCTTTAAAATCGGATGTGAACACCGCTCCCGTATTTGTTTAAGTTGGTGATAAAGCTTGGTGAATCCCGCCGAGAATGGATTGTTGGAACCTGGATTTGGATTTTAAATTCATCAGGTGTTTGAATTGTGGATTCACCTTGATAGACGGATTGATAGACCAGTATATCAGATTGCATTGTTGATAAGCCCATTAAATACTATTCAGTTTTAGAAGCTCTTTCCATTTGAACGACATAATGAATATTTCATTCATGCATTTTCCTATTGTGCTATCAACTTAAATTCCTCTTGCTGCAGAACTATGTTTTCAACTATATTCCGGCACTGATTGCTAACGAGAAAATCACTGTATCTTCGAACTTTGGAATATGCTCGAATTTGCAAAGATTGCATCCCATAGTAAATCTTACAAAAATAACTTTGCAATCAAATTTGTTACAAACATAATTTCCAGTCGAATTACGATTACATACTCATTCTCCTCTTAGTGTACGTTTGGGACTACGTAAGCCAAAATTGTTTTACCTCACTGTCAATAGGTGTCCTATTTTATTCACCTAGAAGAGTAGAAAATATAAATTAAAAGTAATAACCAAGAGAAGTGATAATTGACAAGTACAATTAGGTTGCTTGAGTAGTAAGAATATTCCTTGTAAAGTTGCAAACTTTCAGAAAGTTGATTTTAATAGTCCTATTAGTGTATTGTGTACCTCGCCACAATCAGTAGGCCAGCTGATGGTGACGTCAATGGCAGACGTGTGCCTCAATCCCCGCCGGGTCTAATGACTCCATCAGCGATGACAGAGCCTGACTTATGCTCTGTTTGCCCAGGATTACGGCTTCAGCCCTTGGTTGATTTATGCCGATACCTTGACGTCATCGCCTGCTGCGGCTAGGGTGTTGTGGCGACCCCTCGCTGCTATAATCACCCGCGGTTGCAGCTATGGGCGAGAAAACTCATGGGCCACATATTAGTTGTATTGAAATATATATTGTAATCGGATTGGTGAGTCGGTAGCGCCACGGACTTGGAGCGTTGTCGTGGGTTCGGATCCTCACCCCTTGTATTGCTGCATAGGTTCCACGCACAGATTCGTAGTCTATGTAAACGGGGAAATTCAAGGTTAAAAGAGGCCCTCTTCAGATAGTAAAGTTGGAGTTTTGTTGCAGTTAACTAGAAAACCTATTAAAATTACCCACGTACATTTCAATCTTTTGTAATCATTTAAAAAGGGAGTAAAGTTGATGGATACACTGATGCACTCTATTTTTTCCGGATGTTTAGGATTTTTAGGGTTTGAAATCACGAGCGTACAGTCAAATTATATGAAATTTTACTTACATAAAAGAGTCAAGTCTTCTTGATTGTTCAATATGAACCCAAGACGATTGTGGTACCTTTTGGTAGAGGTGTTAGAAAAAACTTAGGCTACACTCCGTGACACTAAAATGCTGTTCATCAGCAAACAATATGAAACGCAGAGTAAATTATATTGGTGAGACATGCGTGACTTTTAATCCGCATTAAAAAATGTTAAACTTGAAAATATAAATGGATCATACTTTAACAGTAGTGGTGAACTGGTGGACCTATCGCGAACAGCTGTCGGGCAGATGTTAGCAGATGTTACAAAGTTAATTAGTTTAAAGGGCATAAGGCGGAAATGACGTAAAAATCCGGAAATGGCGTTCGATTTGAGCTGACGTCACGATGGATGATCATATGATGTTCAAGGTCATTCGTTTGTGTTTTTAAAAAAAAGGAAGCTAGCCTACAGTTGTAGTGTAGGATAGCTTCCTTGTTTTGTTTATTGTTTATTTGTATAAAACATGAGGAATGACAATAACTTACATACTATTACAATTAATAAGGAAAACATGTGCGAACGTACGTATCTAGAGTGAGCGTCTGCTAAAGTGTAAAACGAATGAGTTTATTGGTGGCCTTTATAAAGGCCGTTTTGTGTAGCTCGGCGACGCTTGTGTATTTGGATGTTTACTTCTTCAACTCCTCTATTGTATTATGGAGCTCTTTCCATCTTGCCATGTCTGCATTGTGCTCGGCCCATTCGATGTCGTCTCGAGGCTGAGCGCACCAAACACGATCAAATTTGCGTCGAATCTCTTTCTCCTCCTCTAGCAGTTGAAGTAGTTTTTCTTCCTTTCGTTTTCGCTCCTGCTCTTCTGCCTCGATGCATGCTTGGTGTAGGTCAGAGTCTTCAATATCGCTTGTCCACTGTTGTTGTTGTTGTTGTTGTTGTTGGTTGGCCATCTTGTGCAAAGTAAACGAGAGAGGTTGAGTTGACTGGTGAAGAGCTGGATGCGAAGTGACTGTTGCGAGTAAAGAAGTGCAGGTCCCTGACGAAGTGGGCGGAGCTAAAGCAGTAGGGGTGGGGGAAAGTAGTAGAGGTGGGGGAGAGCAACATGAGGGCATCATTCCATCCGTTTTAAAAGTATTTTGATTCTACGTCCCTTGTCTTGTGAGTGATGTTTCAGTTTTTCTTGATACGTTTTACAATTACATTGACAATAGGAGAAAGATTCACATTTTTTACAAGCCATTCCATCTACTTGACATTCAGGTGTTTTGAAACACTTAAGATTACAACAATAGTATTTTAAATCGTATTCCGATTTGTGATCAAAAGATGAATTGGAATTACACTGTGACATGTTGCTCGACTGAATTCTAAAACAAGAATGAGAAGCAATGTGTTGTGAGCTTCTATTTATAGTGCAAGAGTCAGCAGCTCTCACAAGTTAGTCTACATTTTTCCATAGTAGGTTAACCATTTGTGTTAGATCGTGTATGTAATTTTGATGCTTGTCTTGATATGTTTTACACCTACATTTGCAATAGCCAACAGACTCACATTTTTTACAAGCTTTTCCATCAACTTTACTTTCAGGCTTTCTAAAACATTTTAAATTACAACAATAGTTATCCAAATCGTATTTGGATTTGTAAACAAAAGGTAAATTGTATTTACGCTGTGACATGATGCTCGGTGAATTGTTGAAACAAGACTGAGAGCAACTGCGTGTAAGACCTGTTATTTATAGTAAAAAGTTCAAGGTCATTTGTTTGAATTTTAAAAAAAGAAACAACATATTAGCATATAGAATTAATTATATGCTGATATGTTGTTTCCTCTTTTAATTTTTTTTAATTTATTTTTTTTTAATGACATAAACATTTTACAAACATATGTACATAGATGGTTATTTACAGAAAAAAACTTAAAACTAACATTGATGGGTGATGTGTAGAGATAGTTCAGTGGAATTGTTTCCGCAAACTCCGTGTGATACCAAATAGAGGGATCCTGGTTGAATACCTCGCAGGTCTTCGTTTTGTAGTTGCTGCACAAATCGTCTTGGAAGATAAACTTGAAATTTCGGTTCATCACCTGGTGAAAACGGTGCCTCGCTCAGTGATGCTAAAATTGCGTCTCCATGTGAAGTTTCTGTCTTCTTCAGCTCGTGAACGATGTAGTGTTTGTGTTCCTTCAATTCGTGACATTTCTTAGTACTTAGAATGCTGGATTTGGACTGGGTGTTGAACTGATCCACCAAAGACTGGAGAAACTGTTGTGAAGCCATTTTCTTGATTAGGACTACCCTGTGAGATGTTGCCTCTGCGATGTCTGGAGTAATACTGATGAGGATCCTGAGACTGTCCACTGTATTTATAGCACACGTTCCCCCCTCCACTGCTATTTCCTTCGTAATACTTCCACTGTTGCTGTTTGAATTTATTTTTGTCCCAATAGTGAAGAACTAGAAAATTAGCTAATCGGTATGCGTTTTGTAGTGCACATTGTGTTACTGTGCGATAAGAGTGATCTGTTAAAGTACAAATAGGTCCATAATTAATTTGATGATCCTTGTCCATTCTTATGTCGAAAACATCGTGATATGTGTATTGTTGTATCCATTGTCTTTTTTCCGATCCTCTTGTATAAATATGGGAAAACTTGTTAGAAAAATGATACATGATATTGTTCAAGTGCTTATAGCTTATCAATCCTTCGTTCCACTGAATATGGTGAAAATGTTTAGTTATCCATTTGTTTGTTCTTCTTGCTTTGTCATTCAATTGGTTTACTGAAAATGGAGCTTCAAATATAAACGGGTATACGACATGTGTAATCAAATCTAAAATCACTAATTCTTTTATCACAAATTCATCTTTGTTATCACGAAATGCTTGAAATTCTATTACACAGGGTTTTATATCCATAATGTTTAACCCTATCTACACACCACCACGTATAGTGTTCAACTGAATTCACACCGCGCCTTGGTCACTCTTTTATACTGTTTTTCTTTAATTACACTTCTTGGGTTGCTGGTTCTTCTTGGTTTATAGTTTCATATTCTTCAACAGCTTCTATCGCTTCTT